GGTGATTAATCTTGTTTTCTTGTGCCCAATAAATGCATAATTTTCATTTGATAAACACGTTTAGATTGAAATGGTAATTTATAATCAGTCACAAGAACGTCGAATCTGAATCACTTGAAAAAAACACGGGGGTGCTTAACTTTTTTCCAGGTGTATAGTAAATAAATATGCAATATCGTGTAATCTAAAATAAAGTTTAGGTCCATCAAATTTTTACAAAATTTTCAAATTCCTTGTATTTTACCTGCAGGGAAAATATTTTCATATTTTTCCCAGTGGCTGGACACCTTGATTCAATAAGTTCTTAGAAACATAGAAGTTACAACTGAAGTTCTAATCATTTTATGGTGGCACAAGAAAAAAGTGAACATAGCTTAAAGGGTATGTTATATTTTTAATAGAACGAACAGGTCCTGTTTCTGCTTTAGTTATGAAAATGCCTAAAAATGGAAGCAAATTATTGGTTTCACACTTGACTTTAATTTTACTAATACTGTGAAGCTTGTTAATTTTCTTAAAAATGTCTTGAAAATCATTTCTATAGTTTGGTCAAACAGAAAACAAATTAGAACCAGAGGATTTCATTTGTATTCATATACACTGTAAGATGTAATTCACATAGAATTGAGGATAAGGGGTTTCCCATAAGCCTTCCATATTGTTGTTGGGAATATTGTTCTGTGCATGTGAATACATTATTTTTCAACACATAATTCCACTAAGGAGATGAAAGTATGGACCAACATAAGAACAAAATATTAATTCAGGTAATTTTCTTTTTAAGAAGTAATGTTTACACCATGTAGAAATTTCTGACCTGGGTACCCACGGCTCAATAACTGTTGGGTACCCATCAGTTTACTACCTGTTAAAGGTCAACGAAAACTAAAAGAAATGTTACCCTAGGGTTGGGTTGCCAATATTTGTTGCTTCGTAAATTTGGTAGAAACTGAAGCATTCATATTTTCAGTATAGGCCTATGCCTCGCCTAGCTCATAGTAGTTAGTTAAAATGGATTTACTGCTTGCTGTGCTGTTTGTCACGCTAATTTTTTTCCTATGTGTTCAGTGTCGGTTCCAAGTTAACTGTATTTTGCATGCCTTTTTTAATTTTTCCCTCATAGACACAAGCAAAGGTTTGCAGCTTACAGAGCAGTTGTAACTTCCAACTATAAGCTATGGGTAAACGTGCTTATTGCTCATGTTAGTTACGTCTATGGTCCCTCCCTTATTTTAGAGTCAGATATTTTACAGCAACCTTCAAATGAGTGTCACAGTGATATTATTACTTGGCCAATCACAAGCTTCCAATTTCTGTCACCTATACAGAAATTATGTGATTAGGCACAACAATTCATAATGGTATTGTTTACAGTATAACCCAAACTGTACCAACCAACGGACTTTGTGAATGCACAATGAAGGTGCATGTTCGGAGACGAGTGTACATTACTCATGAAGTGGCATGCCACACTGCATACAGGCTTTGTGCATAACATCACAAGCCTCAGTACGCAAGCTGACAACTGTGTAAGGTTATGTGTATATTACACTGTATCCAGTAAACAATAGCAGTACACTATCAGCGGTGGGAATAAGGCTTACGGTATTATCAGAGAGAAAAGAATGCATGAAAAATAAAACACACACACACAGGAAAGCTTTGGTGAAATCTTTTTCTTTTTTTCCCCTTAACATACAAAAAATATATACGCCATTCCATTCTCAACATTTACACTTAGAAGACCTAGGAAAGTTGGAATGCCGTGAAAAAAAGAAAGAAATGAATGCATGCAGTTTGATGTTATTCACTGCTTTGACGGATCAACGTAGTGATTTTGGAACTGTATAATAAAGTTGTTGGGCAGGTACCTGGTGTAAACACTATTAATAAGTCTTATTGTTCCATTGATTGTACCTTTGTAAACAAAGAATTAACATCAAAACTGACCATCTTTTCTTTATTCATGTTAGTTTTTTCTATTTCATCAGCATAATCTATATTATTCAGTATATGTGATGATGAGAGCATTTCCAGAGCAGGAGACAGATGTTGTGCTGGTCATTTGGATAACAGATAAGTAAATTACCTTACAATTGAAATTATAGGTCTAAGGGAGCTATATATATATGGATAACCATCTAGAAGATGGGTAAGAGCTGTTACAATCTGATATTTTCTTGGAAAGTGGGTTAGCCCCAAGTTTCTCACATTTTCATCCTGCAGTAAATTCTTCAGTTTAGTTTGGTAAATAGATCTATCCAGGATGATAATTTGGTTTGTCTTGTCAGTTTTAATTACTAGAATATCTTTATTCTTTTTTAATTTTCTTAAGGCTTCTACAAAACAATGAGGAATCACTAAGTATTTTCTCATTGTAAAATAACATAACTGGACCTGTTCTTTTAATCTATAAAAAAACCCAACAAACCCTTAAGCTACTTGCACTTTTTCTCATGGCACCATAAAACAGTTAAAGCAACAATTATAGCTTCAATGTTTTTAATAGCTTACAGCATGTCATCACTAAACCCATTATTGAGGAAAACAAAAATATTTATACAATTTTCAAATGGTTAAAAAATTCTAAAGGCTTAATCAAAAATGCCCATCAAAATTAAGGAAAACATTTTTTAGGAAGAGTAACCAGCAAATAGCAACATTTGCATATGAAATTAAAAATAAAATATTTCTATAAAATTCATTTCTAATATTGTGGCTTTAGGGAAATGTCTTAAAAATAACAATCTCAAAGTTGTTTATAAATATTCCAATTATGTCAAAAATGTCTTACGTTGAACAAGCCTGCAGAACATAAAAAGGGTGTTAAAAACAGTGAAACAAATAACATAATTTTTCTATACGAGGAATCTTGATAATAAAATCAACTGGAAATAACCAAAATAATATAAAAACTATAAATAATGTCAAAACAAAAAATTATGGAAAACAACTCAAAGGATGCAAAACTTCAACACTTTTTGAAGCTCACTTTAAGTTAAATCCCTTTCTAATATCATATACTGTTAATGGACTTGGAACTTTTGTTATAAAATAAACAGTGTACGTGTTTCTCTCACAATCAAATGATGGATTGAAGAGCACACTTGAAAGTGTCAAAACTTTTATCCATGTAAATTTGTTGTTGTTCCATAACAGTGGACCTAAACTTTATTTTAAATCAGCCTTATATTAAAACAACACACCTTATTTTAATACCCAAACCAAATGGTTATTCAAAACATCTTTGCAATTTTAAAGGAAAAATTAATTAACCATCACATATAACTTTGGCAAAAAACTATTCAGCATTTAAAATTTTATACACCTGCAACATTTTATTCTAATCTGTATGAACTAAACATCACAAATACTTGCAGCATTGTTAGTATAGTAACAATGAAAAAACTTTGACTGTTTTGGCTTAAAATATAACTCAATAATATTGAATGTGAAATAAACAGATAATCCAAGCACTTATAGAGGTACACCTAACCTTCCTTAACTGATAGAAAAAAACTGCACCAAGGAAAAAAATGTTTATTACTGACTCATTTGTTAACAAATACATCATATTTTAGTATCTGGTAATCAATAAATTGTTAAATAAAACTGGTAACGAAACAACATAACTAGATTTTAGTTAAACTAAATACACTATTTCCATCTGAAACATGTTTTAATTTTTAGATAAATATTTATATTGAGGAACTATTTAATAATTATCTATGAACCTCAAATACTTGATCATGAATTACAGTTACACACAGAAATTAACTATCTGTATATGGGCCTGGTCATTTTGACCAACTCTGTAACCAACATGTGAACATTGTTTGTTTTGGAATTTCGCGCAAAGCTACACGAGGGCTATCTGCACTAGCCGTCCCTAATTTAGCAGTGTAAGACTAGAGGGAAGGCAGCTAGTCATCACCACCCACCGCCAACTCTTGGGCTACTCTTTTACCAACGAATAGTGGGATTGACCGTCACATTATAACGCCCCCACGGCTGAAAGGGCGAGCATGTTTGGTGGGATGCGGATTCGAACCCCCGACCCTCAGATTGTGAGTCGAGCGCCTTATCCACCTGGCCATGCCAGGCTCACATGTGAACATAAAACTATACAAACTATAACATGAAATATAGTAAGTATATCTTCCAAAATTTGGCAAGCTTTCAGCAAACAGTACAAGTCTTTTGGACACAAAAAGTCATATTTCTTTTAAGAAAGTATTTTTATTAAATAGTTATCTGTGAATTTATGGAGTCCATGACTAGTCTGAATGCAAGGTGATTTTTATGTTAAGTACTTTTTCTCATCTTAAAGTTTTCAAATTTCATTTGCCTAACCACTAGAACTTTCTAAATGAATATCAAAAGTTTTTTTTAAAAACTTCATATTTATATGTTATTTTCTCTATCCTAACATTATGGACTCTGTCAATTTGACTGACTTTGTAACCACCACAGAAAAAATGAAATAAATCTAAATTGCTCTATTTTTGTTACTAGAATGACTTCAATTTGTAACAGAAGTTAGCATTTTCCTAAACTGAAAATGTATTTCTGATAGATACTTACCTCCTCTCACCAAATAGCTTTTCTCAACTAGCACTGCCCTCTATCGGCATAAATTTTTAATGCATCCCACTAGCCATCTGCCTCCCGCTTCTTTATATCCACATGCAAGTGATCATGCAGCAGCTCTCCACCAATAGGAGCATGACACCACTCCTATCCTAACCAGCACCCTCTTCTCATCTGCACTCATTAATCACTGGAAGTGGGGAGGCTGGGTGGGAAATGTGAGAGAAGGTAAGTATCTATCAGAAATACATTTTCAGTGTAGGAAAATGCTAACTTCCAATATGATATCTTACCTCTTCTCACAAAATAGCTAGAATCCTAAAACTGACTGGTGGATGGCCAATAAAAAAATATGATTCTCCTTTAAGAAGCACCCAATGAGAGACAAGAAGGTGTGGAATCAAAAGAGAAAACATCACACCTCAGCAGGTGACCCCCTCATGATCCAGGTATACTCCTTGCTCTTTTAAGACAATGCCGTGAACATAAAAGATGGAAACATGAAGGAATCCCAGAACATGTATGACCTATGAATGGGAATCTTGGGTGTCGAGTGGCTAGGATGCAACAGATCGTAGTGGTAGTTTGACCAACACCAGACAGTATCTGGAATGGTACACCAGATCCGCAGTAGGTATAGGAGCACCTACCTCTTCACCTCAAAATGGGAATTGGTAGGGAAGACGAGCTTCCATACCAAAATACATCACCATTTCCAACCCAACCAACTCCAGTATTGGTTGGAGATGGTACAGCTAAATAAGTCCTCACATGTGTTCTGGCCAGTTTTTCTTTTCCTACTGTGGATTGGATGACTTATACTCACTGCCGCCAGGTTTTGGAGATGCACCCCAGGTTTGTGATCCCTATTCCTACCATCTGCTGGATCTTGCTTCCTGGCAGATCTGATGTTGGTTGTAGCTGGATGCAGCACATGTTTTCCCACTTGTGTACAGCCTGATATCCTCTTCCTACTGCGGACTGGCTGGAAGTACTTTACCCATTGCCATCAGGTTTTGGACCAGAGATGTCATCCCACCAGGGCTTTACACCTTCCTTCAATCTGCTGGATATCAGTGCTCGGTGGATCTGGTCCCACCGGGAATGTACATTCGGAGGAGGAACGTCTCAACCTGAGGGGCAAACTGCAATTACAGGTAGATTATATATACATATTTATGACATGGCAGAGTGCTTCAACCAAAACCTGGCAGCATCTGAAATTCATCATCAGTTCTGCAGTAGGCAGGGTGTCACACCATTGAAAAAAAGATATATAAACAGAAATATAGCACAGTGCAACAACCAAAACCAGGTGGCATCTGGAATTGTGAATGAGATCTGCAGTAAGAAGTGCTATACACCAGCGACACCTGCAGAATACCACCATCCTACTCTCAACTGAGTGGTATGAATAATATTATAGCATTGTGTCTAACTTATTATACAATATTATACAGCAGATCTTTTTAATTATTCAGGTTTTTCTTCTTTTATGCCAGAGGTAAAATAGAAAACATAATCTGTGATGTAATCGCTGTTAATTGTATGTATGACAAAGTGTCTCAATCCTCACATGAAATTAAGCAACTTCCATTATATTTATAATGTGTTTTTTTTTTCACAACACACAAGTCAAATGCACAAACTAGCAATAATAAAATAATTTAATAAAATCTTAGTTCAATAAAGTCTGCCTATAAAAAAGGGAGACCATTATGATTTATCTGTAGTGCAATTTTACTGAAAACTGTAGTAAGAGTTGATAATGCATTGTGGCCACATTGTAGGTAGAAAATGCCAAGTTCAGAAAAGGTAACTTCAAAAAATTAAAGGTTGGCTTCTAATTAATTTATACACATCCATAACCTAGATATTGTTCCTACAATGTTTGATGAAATTATTTTGAAATTCTTAAAAGTGCTCTTTACATCACTAAGTTACATCAGTCCAGAATTTAAGAGAATAAAATAAGCATGATACCAAAAAAAAACAGCCTCCGAGGCATTCTTAATAACTGATAAAAAGGCAGTTCCAACTTACTGATTGGTAACCATCTTCATAACAACCCAGTCTCGAGGAAATACATCTTGTTTTACAAGATCCCGAAACACAAGAAATACTTGAAGTAGAAAATCTTTTAATTTCTTGCGATCCCTAATCTGACACCTGTCATCAAACTTCTTCCACAGATGTAAGTAGTGTCGTTCTTCCATTAAACGAAGTAAAGCCACTAAATTTGCAACCATAGGACCCTAAAAGAAATAATAAACGAATAATTACAAGCTTAACAAATATTAAAATTCCAAAAGAACCATATTTTAATGTTTTTCCTTACTGAGGCATGTAATATAAAACATAAAAGATTATTTTTCAAAAGATATTTTATAAATTGTTTTAATACTAGTTTACATAGAGGTAAGAGGACAGTACTGGTAGTGGTGGTTGTGTAAAGTCAGTTGGAATTGTGAAGCCATAAAAACTATTACAAAGACTCACAAAAAGGACGATAAAATAAGTTAGTAAGAGATATTAAATTGCAATTCTATAATAACAAGAGAAAGTATAATTACAGTGAGATTTTAATGAAAAAAGGAAAATAAAGTGTAGTGGATATACTTTTTGAGCATATTTTACTATACTTAATTTATACAAAGAGTGAATTACATATTTGTACATTTGAAAAAACATACAAAGTCACGAAAGCAGTTGAAGAAATCAATAAAGGAGAGGAAAAATAGAAGAGTCTAATATTATAGTGTTTTGTTTTTCACAAACACCTCGTACACAGTAAACAATGGATTAGAGCAAAAATAAATAAATAAATGAGGTACACAATATTTAAAGTAAAACTTTTTCAGCAAAAATAATGAAGGAATTATTTTTTTTATTACAATACAACATTAATAATGCATACACAATTTATCATTTAAATACTTTTAGCATTCAGTTTGTTCAAATGTTTCCAGTTAGCACAAGTGCTATTGTTATACTTCCCACGTGATCAATATTTGCTTGTTTGTTTGTTTGTTAGGCACAAAGCTACACAATGGGCTTTCTGTCCTGTACCCACCAAAAGTATGGAAACCCCAATTTTAGTGCAATAAACCCTCATAATTACCGCTGAGCCATCGGGTTGCTTGAATAGTAGTATTCCAACATTTTCAATAGGTATTAGGAGTGTTGATTAATAAAGGAATTACAATCTACATCTTCCCTAAGCTTAAGTTTTACTACTGAGAAACAAATATATGAAAAAATTATGATCATTGTAACATAAGTCAAATTAAAGAAAATGATAAGATTTTCACAAAATTTCATGAATAAAAATTCATTTACCAGCTTTTAAAACATCAAATAATCATCAGTATTTTTAAAATTACAAAAGGAAAAAAAAAAAGCCGCTTCAATTTTTCACAGTCATGTTAACTGTCATGTTAAGCTTATATTAAAGTTTTTCTTCATTACCCATTTAAGCCGTCTCCAGCCATTATTAGTCTCAAAGTGGGTTCCTCGTCATCGAATGTTAAAACATACTTTTTGACGTGCAAGAAATTTCTAATAGCTTCAAAAACTCAAGGATTTTGTTCAAAAATGAACTTCCCACTATTTATTTAACAAAAGTACAGAAATATAATGAAATAAAAGTTAGTTTGATTATCATAATCACACATTTGCAGCACTTACTGTGGAATGAATATCAATTTTTCATCTTTTGTTATCAACAGTTTTTAAGAAATAAAAAAGAAGTTTCAAATACAACATCACTTTTGTCGTATTTGTATTATTGGTTATTACAAAAACAATAAACATATATAAATACAAGTATTTTAATTATATAAAATACAAGTTTAACATAAAAACATATATAAAAATAACAAAAGTATTAGGTCAGTTTGTAAAACAAGTTTTTGTCCATCCATTTTCTTATTACCATATTGAAATTCAAAAATTATTAGTATGAAAGGTGCATGACAGTGACTAGCAGTTTATTATCAAACACACAATCAGATACATTCAATGGACTGATAAAACAAGTGTACAAGCACAATTTATTGATTTTCCTGATGGCGTTTGCTAAGAAAAAATTTCTTTAGGTTTTAATTGCACCCTTAAAGATTCTATAATTGAAAATCTTAAAAGATAGAAATATACAGATCTTGCCCTAAACAAACGAATTATTGTAACTCAAAAATCCTGCCAAATTCCACACTTTGTAACCAATGAAGCAAAAACTACAGATTGTGACATGGAAGCATTGCTGGTTGAAGCATGTGTGTTTCAATTTTGACCAGCCTCAGATTCATTTCTTTTAGAAATGCTTAAAATAAAGTACTTAATAGACTCAACAAAAAAAAACTATCCATAAAATACTTCACTTCAACAGTTAAACCAATGCTACTTATATCCTTTTAAATGTATCTATGGTCAATGTGCTACAAAAAAGCATATAAAAAGCTTACCTTCAACACTTGTAGTAATACCATGAATAGTAATACTGTTCCAGTTTAGAGATTTTTATAAAAAGTGCATAGAAATTAGCTTTAACTCTCTCAACAATGGGTCAGTTGAATTGATTGACCTCGTAACCACTTTGTACTCATTATAGTTTTCATACATAGCTTTTAATACAATATGTTTGTTTTTGAATTTCGCGCAAAGCTAAACGAGGACTATCTGCGCTAGCCGTCCCTAATTTAGCAGTGTAAGACTAGAGGGAAAGCAGCTAGTCATCACCACCCACCACAAACTCTTGGGCTACTCTTTTACCAATGAATAGTGGGATTGACCATCACATTATAACACCCCCACGACTGAAAGGACGAGCATATTTGGTGTGATGAGGATTCGATACCCGCGACCCTCAGATTGCGAGTCGAGTGCCCTAACCACCTGGCCATGCCGGGCCAATACAATGTGTGTATCTTCACAAAATTTGGCAGACTAAGTAAACATTACAAGCCTTTTGTACAGAAAAAATCAGACTTTTTCAATGAAGTATTATTACTAAAGATTTGTCCATGAATATATAATCTTCTTTACTAGTCTGAATGCAAAATGATTTACACATAAAGATTAAAAATACTTTTTTCATCTCAAAAATTACAAATTGATTTTATATAATCTCTAAAAACCTCCTAAATAAATTTCAAACATTATTTTTTCAGTAAAACTATATGTTTTATCTGCTATTTTCTCTACCATAACTTTATACAAATAAATCTAAATTACCCTTTTTTTTAACAAATGACTTAAAATTGTAATATGAAACTACATTTATCTTCAATAGCTTTAAACTCATAATAGTATACATCTATCTATACTTAAATTTTATTGTTTTATTGCCCTTTGAACCCTGTCTAATGATTATTCACTCCATTATAAGTTGTTAATCACTCTTCAAAGAATGTTGTCAAACAATTTATATCAGTGGGGCAAGTATTTTCATCTATAAGGTTGATGTCAGAGCCAACTTCAACAGTGCATGGAAACACAAAAAGTTTTCGGGGTTTGCATTTGGCAAAACTAGTCTACTGCAAGTAGAATAGCAGATCATCAAAGAATAAAGTAGCCACCTACATCATTCATGGATTATTTCGTTTCTTCACTAAAATTATACATTTGAATGATGAGAAGAAAAATTCACAATTAATACAAATGGTTATAAAACATAGTCCCTTTAACATGTGGCATTATGACACCACTCTGCATGATGTGGAAGTCAGTACATCAATCCATGCTTATTTATGCTAACACCTTGCACTGTAAAGATTCTACAATGCAACATGATATTTTCCCCCACTATATGCATATAGTATTATGACCATTGTACTGTAGATCCCACGATACAAAAGCCTGTCAATACCACATCCCCTCAGAAAGCATGTGTACTTGTCTACCAACACCTCCAGTATGCTCAATTCCTGTCCATGACTATTTGCTGCACGTGTACAAATAAACTTGGCTCCATCAAAATAATGGTCATTCAAGCATTAAAACGTTATTTCCCAAGAAATATTTTAGAAATCAGCATATTACTCAGTGTACTTGGAATTTTAACATCAAGTTTGCTGGATACTAATCCAATCACCAAAAGTAATAAACCAAATGTCCAACAGGTTGTTGCCAAACTCAAAAGAACTGATATCATATCATGTATCATGACCCACATATCACAAAACATATTGTATCATTACAGCTCTACTCACACCATGCTTCCGCTATTGCCACATGGATGAAAATGATTACGGGATTAGATCTGGTTCCAGATCTAGCTGCAGAGCAAGGCATGACTTATATGTAAAAAATATACTGTTACACATGTTTTTGACACAATTTCAATTGAGTTGTTTTATTCCATGCTAAGGGTGAAATGTACCTTACTGGACTTTTGACATACAAGCCTGCTTTAAGATGTCTGTTTCTCATCACCTGAACACAAGCATATTTTACCACTATGGCTTTGAATTGATCTAGTTTTGGGGCAGGTATCTTGTTATTGTGGCAAGACAGTATCAACAGATAAAGGTCATCTGCTTTTAACACAGCCACAAGCAACTGACTATATTGTTAATCACAGTCTAAGAATCTCTCTCACAATGAACAATTAGCCTTAAATAATTTGCTGTAATTTGGCATAAAAATTTATATATAACTGAAGCTTTAAAACAACAACAGTACTTTCTACACCCCTCTTCAAGATAACCCAATTCCCAACTTCAACAAGAACCTAGTAACATCAACAATTGAAAATATATGTTCGCTGATAACGAATTACCCACAAAAGTCAAGAATCTAATTCTAAATGAACCTATAATTCCTATGTTTTTATCTTCTTCCCAAAATTCACAAAGGACATCCAGACCAACCCATTGTATCCACATGCACCAAACATTTCACCAACAACCATACATTTGAAGAACTTCGATTCTCGAACTTACAAGTGCTCCAATGGACACTGACTAGAAAGAAAATTAATCTACAATATGGGAACCCTACAACCATCTCGTTCAAATGAACTCTGGGAACCCTACAATCATCTGGTTCAAATGAACTCTGGGAACCCTACAACCATCTGGTTCAAATGAACTCTGGGAACCCTACAACCATCTGGTTCAAATGAACTCTGGGAACCCTACAACCATCTGGTTCAAATGAACTCTGGGAACCCTACAACCGTCTGGTTCAAATGAACTCTGGGAATCCTACAGCCATCTGGTTCAATGAACTCCGGGAATCCTACAGCCATCTGGTTCAATGAACTCCGAGAACCCTACAACCGTCTGGTTCAAATGAACTCCGAGAACCTTACAGCCATCTGGTTCAAATGAACTCCGAGAACCTTACAGCCATCTGGTTCAAATGAACTCCGAGAACCCTACAGCCATCTGGTTCAAATGAACTCCGAGAACCCTACAGCCATCTGGTTCAAATGAACTCAGGGAACCCTACAGCCATCTGGTTCAAATGAACTCAGGGAACCCTACACCCATCTGGTTCAAATGAACTCAGGGAACCCTACACCCATCTGGTTCAAATGAACTCAGGGAACCCTACAGCCATTTGGTGCAAATGAACTTTTTTTTCTTATGGAATTTCTTTCTTTCGATAATTTGTTTCAATTTAATTTTAATCTGTATTCTCTCATCTTTCTCTTTATTCTTGATATTTTTTTAATGACTTGTAATATTTATGTAAAAGATGTAATGTTGCAGAGATATTTTATCATTAATGTTCAAAATGTTCCACAACTTTCAATTTGTGTACATGCATTTGTTCTAAGCTTTACGATCTGATGAAGAGCAGTAACTCAAAACATCATCTTGTTGAAATAAAAAAAAAATATTAAACTTGGCTAATATCTATTCTTTAATTTCTAAGATACTCCAGAAACAATAAATCTTGTATCAACTTCTCTACGTTACATATACTAGATTAAGAACATATAAAAGACTCAACATGTAGCATTTTCAGGACATAAATGCCTTGTGATTATTTTAGATGTTCAAAACTACATTATATATCAAACTTCAATACATTGACAATAATTTCCATGTCCTGTAGTCTTTTCATGCTATAAATTATTAAAACTGGTATAGTTTCAAAAACCAATTTAAACACTTCCAGAAACATATCTTTTCTTGACATTTATATTAAACATGCTAAATATATATTACCCAAAACTAAGCTTAAACCACTCTTGTAATAGTGTCTCATTAATGTCTTGAACTTAAGTTATACTAAACATCACCAACCATTTAACTTCAACAGTTGTGGAAACAAAGGATGTCCTATCAATGTTATAGTATTAGAAATATAAACAAATATCATTAACACTCACAACAACAGTGGATGTCCTGTCAATGTCTCTTACACTGCGGATGAGAGTTTCCAGGATGCCAATGACCAAAATATCTGCCTCTTGGGTTACTGAATTGTCAGAAAAACTTAAGGCACTGATTCCATTCAAATTTTGACTCTGTTGCCGTTGGTCTTTCTCTTGATACAGAAAGGTAAGAATTTCACCAAGCAGGTCAGAACACAGACGCAACTCTTGCTGATGGGACATATGATCCTGAAGGTGCCACATGAAGACCTCCAACAAATCCTGCCGAGATTCTACAACACACGGCAACAATTAATAAATATTTTAGACTTAATGAAAGCCAAAAACTTTTTTTCACATCTTTCATGCAACTTTTGTTTACTTAACATTAATACTTAACTATATAAGGTTCACTCGAGTTACATGATAGTGTAAAATGAACTTAATGTTGGATAACTATAATAAAGATTTTTTTTAGATGCTCATTGTTCTTATATTGCATTGATAATATTTTTGATTTATAGTGCTGTTTGTGTGGAAATAGTAGTTTTGGTTGGATTTCAGATATCTGGTGATACATGCTTAAGCTACCACTTCATTATAGTGTAGTGTTAAACTAACTACTTTGTCATTGTTCTCTGGAAATTTAATAAGGATGTATACAGGGATGTACAGTTCTGCACGAGTAAGTAGTTGTTGTGTTAGAAAGTGCTTTACAGCCCCTGATACCCTGCTTAGACTGTTGTTTGGGTTATGCTTGTCGTTACTGTTGCTACTGTGGCCACTTGTTTGCATACACTGACAACATAAAAGGTTGTCATAATGCTTATTTAAACTATATATATTATTTGTCTTATTACTGCTATCTGGTTTCTCACAAAATTAATATCAAACTGTATCAGATTTCATCAAATTGTGCAATATATAGTTGGATCAAATATTCAGTTAATCTTTAGTTATAGGTGATTTATTGTGTAGTATAGATAGTTCACAGTTCCTTGAATGGAATTGATATGATATAAAATTACATTTTTTGTGAATTTGATTTTCATGGTGATAGCCTTAGTTGGGAAATCTGACTTTGTGTGATAATACCTGATTTCTGGTGTGTAGCATCAACACTATATATTGAAATTAGTAATGCTTGTTGTGCATAAGTATTTGATCGTATCACATGATTTATTTACTCATGCATGCTATCAATCATAAGCTTTGTAGCTAAATTGGATTGCTAGTATCCAAATTGAAGGCATAAGTATGGGAAGTCCTGTATTTCCAGTACTTGCCAATATATTCATGATAAGAATTGAAGAACTTGCCATCTCAAATTCACTTTGTAAGCCAATTTTTGGGTTTCAGTATGTTGATGACATTTTTTTAGCTTTCAATAACTTAATGTAATTCACAAGTTTTTCTCTTATCTAAACCAGATACACCCAAACGTAAGATTCTTGGCAGAAAAAGAATTTGATGACAGATTGTTATTTCTAAAGGTTTTTGTTAACCCTATTGCATCAGGCTTGTGTATTCTGCATGACCTTGTAACCATGATGGTATATATACTGTAACTCTTGAAAGTAATTAATGTATGTTCACAAAATTTGACAAGCTTTCAGTAAACATTTGAAGTCATTTGTAGACAAAAAATAGATCAATTTAATAAAATATTTTTACTTCAACTTTGTCTGTAAGTATACGGGGTTAGAGCATTGACTGTTCTGAGTGCAAAGTGGTTTTCATGTTAAGATTTAAAATGCTTTTTTGATCTGAAAATTTTCAAATTTCCTTTGCGTTATTCTCAATACTACTGTAATGGACATAGAATGTGTGTCGGTATCTTTGTATGTAACCAAAAGTTCTGCGTCATCTATTGAATGGTACCACAAACAAAAATCCATAACAAATTTCACAGTTTGGGTATTCAAGATTTAGACAAGTAGTAAAATAACTGTGGTATTTGAACAACTATTTCTTTATAATAGAACACAATTTTAAATAAAACTACTTTCCTTGCAACAAGAACATGACTTTCCCTGGGACTATACGTGAGGGTTTGGTTATATCTTTGTTGATGTAATTTTTAAAGGTAGTACTGAGAAACTGGAGTTTTTAAAAAAAAACTATTATTTTTTTAATAAATGCTACCACTTTTAACGTATAAAAACATTACAGTTTTATAACCTTTTTAAAAACTTTAAGCTTTTAATATGGTGTCTAAAATGTCTACTAAAGTATATTTACATTTGACTCTTGTTTACATCTGTTGAAGTGAAATGCATGCACTGGCACATTTAAATAGTAAGGTGTGTAAACATTTACAGGACAGACAAAAACTGAGTATTATTATAATAGATACTTATGCAGGCTTTATGAATTGTGTACTGTAAATAGGGTTGGTGTAAAAATATATACAGCTTCTCTGTTAGGTAGATCTGCTAAGAGGTGTGTAACTTGCTTTATGTAAGTTGTATTTCATTACTACCACATTTACAATCTACAAATTAATAATATTTTTCACAGAAGCTATTTATACTTACACAAAAGGATTCTTAGCATTACAAATATTTAGACATCAAATTTAAGAAAATAAGTAGTACTTGAGGTACTCTTATAATGTTTGGTTAGTGAACTCACCATGAAAGAAAATTGTCTTTTTTATTTATTAAAATTACAGTTAAATTTCCTGATATTATTAAGTAACTATTGAGCATGACAATACCATCATCCTATTAAGTATAGTTAAAGCTTTAGTAGGTTGTCATAGATGTGAATTAAACGAAGTATGTGAAGTATTTTTCAAGTTAAATATTAAATTTATTTTTATATTTGGGTACCATTAAATATGTTTTATTTTGGTTTATCATTATTGAAAAAATAAACAAATAAAATATTTTTGGGGAATAGGTAATTTATTTTGTTACATATCTACAATTGATGCTATAGTGAAGTTAAAAATTGTATATCATTTTAAGACTTCAAAGCATCTTTTTGTATGTATTATCAATTGAAACAAAGGTACCTGAAATGTTAGAAAATCAAAATTATTTCGTGATGAAGATTTTGATGTTTGTTATCATTAGCACTTCCAAATTACTAGAATCACTTACTAGAACTTTGATTTTATTTTGTCGAATATTTTTTGATTAAAGCAATAAAAATATTACATCAAAGAATATTCCTGTGGCTAGTTTCAAGGCTATGAGAAATTGTTTTTTTTTAGTTGTGAGGATGTTAATTTTGTTGTTTGCACCTGATGTGTGTATATATTTATTTCTTTATCTAGATATCTCTAGTTAATAGTCTTAGTGCAGTGTTTGAACAGCTGTTGGAAGTTCTGCATGTGCAAGAGGTGGCTGTTGTTATTAGAGACACGGTGGGACAACTTCCTGGTGACCTTCCTATCCCTCTGGTCCAGGCCAAACTTAAATGTATGCACCATGTTGTCAAGTCTCCAATTTTTAAGGACCAAAGTAGGTGATTTTTATGTTATCAAGTCTAGAAAGTTGGTTTTTGTTGTCATGTAGTGTTGATTTAATTATTTTCTTCCTGGTACAGCAAATTGCAAGTTGACTTCAGTAATACAAATAAAGAAACAACTTTTTAAAAGAGGAATTAAATGTAGGGATGGCTGATATCAGTTCATCAAAAACCATGCCAACAAGATAGTAAGGATGACATTTACATCATCCCTACATAATAGCATAGGCACACAGTGCAGTAGAATGTTAACGGACAAAAATAGGATAAATTAAACTCAGTTGTGATTGAATAGTTATATATATTGCTATATGCTAATTATTTTCTGTGCTATTATGTAGGGATGATGACAAATGCCATCCCTACTATCTTGATTGCATTGTTTTTAAAGGATTGATATTAGCCATCCCTACATTTATTTCCTTTTTTGAAAAGTTTTTATTTACTTATTTGTTTGTTTTTTAATGGAATTTTTCAATAGACATAGGAAGGTTGTATTTATAACCAAGTCCTAAATAGAATGAGGTTCCAACTGTAATATTTATGATTAATCTGATATTGGCTGGTAATTCCTGTTTCACCCTGAACACCAACTTTCTGTAAGAAAGCTAACTTCTAGGGATAATGATAACATTGTTTACATCAGAATTATGATTTTGTTTTTAATTACTACTTGTTTGAAATTATGTCTCCTCAGTGAAATTGGTTAACACCATTGTTTTGATTCCTGAGTTATGTAATAAAAAAGAAGCAGAAGAAAGAACAAGAAATCCAAATGTTTTACTATGATATTTACAGACATTCCCAGAACTTGTGACTCAGTCATTACACAGATATTGTTATAAAAGGAAACACTGTATGGTATTGTAAGGTTCTGATGGCCTGTTGAGGAGATATTTAAAATACCATTTGGTGAATAATCCGAGCCATCCCTACATAGGCAGTACACTGCCTGCTTGAAAACAAGAATTTTTATAAAGAAATAATTAGCCGAGTTCTGTTTTATTGTTGCTCATTTCCAAAAAAAAATGGAAACTAACTTAATCCCTTCCAAAGGAATTAAAACAATTTCTTTTACAATTTGAAAGAACTTCTCAACTTTCCACTGGTATCTATCAATTTCTTCACTCCTCAGATTCCTGTACTTCTCAAATTTATGGTCTCCCCTGGTTTCATAAACCTGGTTTCCCTTTACATCTTATTGTTTTGGCTTACAACTACAAGCCAGGAAAATTCTTTGATTAGATGTTTTCTAAATATGTTTCTCATGCTTCCTCTTTCATAAAAAATTCTGCAATGTTCATCAAAAAATTCTGAGAATTTATTAAATTTCTTCAATTACTCAAATTTGATATAAAAAAATCTGTTCACTCAAGTCCCTGTACTTGAAGCAATAAATGCTGCCCTGGAATCTTAACAAAAGTTCTAATCCTCGTTTTTGCTTAAACATGAACACTCTAAGAGAACTGATTCTGTTTGCTGCTAAATTTTCCACTTTCTAGTTTTATGGTGTGAATTATCAGGCAGTGCAGTAGCAATGCCTATGTAGGGATGATTCCAGTTCGAGATTTTCTTTCTTCCTTTCCTTCATCTGTAACTCATAAACTACAGTGTGCCTACTTCCAGCCTGTACACCAAAACACTTCACTAACTAAGATGTGTCTTTTCAACCTAGATCCCCAAGTGATCCACAATAGGTTAGTTACAGCCCAAAATATACAATGATACTGGTTGTTTAATATTGTCCAATACACATATCAATCAATAGATGGCTAATGCTAATTGTAAAAAAAACAAAACAAAAAGTACAGA